CCAGAGCACCTGGCATACAATTAAACACATCGACTCCCCCACTGAAGCCTCTCCTCGTCAAGAACATGAGCAGCCATTGAAGATGGACCGCAACTCAGTTGGACTCCTGGGAGAAAGTTTTGGGGCTGGAAGATGGCTACTGCAACAAGAGTGGTATAACTTGAGCTCTAGCGTCCAATTAGTTCCGCCACCTATCTTGACTCAATATTCAGATGATTGCGCTGGATCAGAGGCTAGTCTGTGTAGGTGCTGAAGAGGGAGTATCCATTCACAGACGAGCATACTGTAGTTATGTAAGTTCTCTGTTCGGTGCCTCCTCCACCTCAGCAATATTCACAGGGGCAAAGGGAGGGATTCAGACTGGCCCTGTAGCCAACCACTTGCTCAACTATGCCAGGTCTTATCCTCAGTCACTCTCAGCAGCACTTTCCAGGGTAATTTATAAATTGCAACGCTTTCATCAATTTCCCAGTTCTAATTTCCATCCATTTACAGCGTTATGTAATCCCCTCTGTTGATATAGAGGCACGGCTTTGTTTGTTTTCCCTCTACCTCTATGCATCGGTCTGAATCTTCATCTCTAGTATAAACACATACACCCTCAGTTGTACAGGTGGGCCAACACTAGATAAAGCTCGACCTTTAAACCCCCAGGGCATCCGTGTGTCGGATCATTGTGGGACCTTTTGGTCAGATCTGATATAGCAGAGCAGTGATTGTGAGGAATCCAATGATTCGGTTGATTTTATATCTCCCCTGAGTAGTTTCATCAAGAAAATATGAATAATTCAGCTGATTAGAAATAGTTATCCTTTTGGGTGAAGTAAAAAACAAATAAGGATGCAGTTTCATGATAAAAAAAACGTCATTTCTCATGGAGCAAATGATTCTGGAAGACATGAAAACCCCCAAGCGGAAAACAATCCTAATATTTGTTCATTTTGATTACTCTCGTTATTTTTGCTCAAGGCCTGGCTTTGCTGGCCAAAAGTGAGTCTTTCTGTAGGAGGGGATGTGGGTTGTTTACCAGAAACATTTGCCATGAATAAACCCACAAAGATGTGATAAGCATAAAGGGAGGAAGCAAAATATCCGTAGAAAGATAAATATTTCCATCCAATGTTACCACTAGGTCCAAGCTCTCAAGAGCAGGTCAGTCTTGAAGATCCTGTGCACAGTATTCTGCACTGTGAACATCACCGCCCAATGATATTGCATTGTTCAAATTACTGAACACAAAATGTTCCAGGTTTATAAACAGCTGGCAGGAGATGTTGCTGTTATGCACTCAATTAATGCATTATTTATATGATAAATTCTCTTGAAATTCTCATACTGTAAAATAGCAAGGGAGAGAGACGATGACAAGGTTTCAAACAAGTCATAACAGCTCACCATATAAGAGAACCACTTCTTACTAGCGCGGATGGGAGGAAAATCTATGATATCGTCTTTCACCCTTGAGTGAATATAAAATACAAATCAGAGCCTCAGAATATGTATTGTTTCTTAGTTTTACATTTTTATTTGTATTTGTTTATGATCAACATATATTTTCTAGGATCTTTGGTGTTCCCACAGCACTTAGTTGCACATTGACTACTGTAATATACTGCATTTTGCCTTTTAAAGTAGATAGAAAACCACAATCACAATCTCCTACAAAAAACAGGTACACTGAAGACACTTCCTTGTTGAGTTCACGTACACTCAGCAGATCACATACTGATAAAATGTGAGAAAAAGACACTATGGTGAGTCAGTGACAACAGAACAAATACACTCATGACCTTTAGAATTTTCCTGAAAGCAATCGTATAGGAAGCTCATTATCCTCAATTTATAAACACATTTCAGACTTACAAATACATAAAAAAAACTCCAAAACAGATCTGATCCAAATTTCAATCATATCCAGAAGGTCACATACAGTTTTATTCTGCTGCACAAACATGTGAATATCACCTGTATGAAAATATGGCAGTGTAATGTCTTGACTACAATGATTTTGTGATGATCTGTGAACAGTTGTGCAGTTTGATTATTGTTATGTTATGTGGTCAGTGTAAAGCATTAGAACTAAATCTGTTGAGTATGTAATGTGATTACATATTGCCCTTAACTGCACAGAAAATAAAAACCCTGGAAGTCTCAAAACGTCCTGGGCTGTGGAAATTGATCAGCAGAAAAACTGTGGAGACCTGTATGTGGAGATCTCTACTGTATATACTGTAGTTACACTATTTAACTATGGTCTTGATTGAATTGATACACAAGCTGCTGATTATTGTATGTTGGTGAACTGAGTAATAAAGAGCACAGATAGAAGGTGAAAGCTGAAATAGATGAGCATCAAGGTGACCAAATCAACGCTGCGGTTTCGCTTACAGTTTTTCTCCCACTTCAAACCTAGCAGGACTGGAGCCCACAGGGATCAGCGTTCAGCTCTACTGCTCCATTTCCATTTCTCTCTTCATCTCACCCAACAGTCACCATGAGGCCACTGTAAGCTCGTGCCTTCTGTTTAGAACACATTTCCATTATCCTCCTGAGCAACAGGACAATCATATCCTCTTCAAATACAACAGAAAACGGTTGAAAGAAAACAGTTAATTCCACAAGTTCAAAAACCAGAGACAACAAAAACATGAGATGAGTGTGCTCAAAAAGAAATAAAAGCAGGAAACAAAAGAAAACAGTGTCAGACGTCTGCTTCAGTTTCCAAAGGGGAGGGGGATCTTTTCAGGAGCAGAGAGTCTGACAGATCTCGGTTATCCTGAACAATTCTGATGCCTGATGGGTCTCTAGGTTTGTATGTCGCAAACACTCTCTCATTCTACCCCTTTCTACACCTACCCAGATCACTCCGGTATCCCAACCCAAGAACTGTAAATGAGCCTCCGGTCTCCTGCTCTTTCCAAGGGTCGTCGGGTAGAAGTTGTTATAAACAGATTATTTTTGTATAAAATCAGAAGGGTATTGTCTTTCATGGATCACGCGCTAACACATCAATGCTTGAACAACAAGCATATATTTGTCCAAAATCTAATTTCACTCAGACCCTGACGCTATGAGGGGTAATCTAGTATTTACCATAACCTTCCTGGAGTCATTACAAGCCATAATGGGACCCCTTAATTGAGGACAAATTAAAACGAAGATCAGCACAGTAGAAGTGAATGGTCAGTCATACAGTATAGGAAAACACTGGGAAGATGAGACAATTTCACAATAGGATAAACAATAAACAAAACATATTTCTCTTTTTGACAATGAAAAATTCTGAAGTTGTTTGGAGTCAGACCAGCATATGAACCGACAAATGGTGCATTGATCTCCTAGAAGTGATCTGAACAACAGAGACAGACAGTGCTGCGACAAGGATCACGACTATTGTACGTTTATATGAAAAAAGATTACGATCAACCTTACGTTATTGCATAAGTTGGCATATCTTCTTCTATAACCATTCTCTTTCTAAAACATAAATAAACTCAACAGATACAATCACAATATACTTTTGAGAGAGAGAGACCGAGATAAGCAGTGCCAGTTGGCTGGACCAACAGTGGCAGAGAGACAAAGACCTGTTCGTAATGCAATAACTTTTCACAACGAAAGATAAAAAAAGTAACCCACTCACCATGGAGCTGCAGTAAGCACTTCCAAATTCATTAACTGAACACAGATTCTTTCACTGCCAAAACCCACCACCTTGCTAGGAAAAACAAATAAAATGTTTTATTTTTTGCAGATTACTGTTAATTGCCAAACCAATTTGAAAAAGGACTAAGACCTGACTAAGGTGTTTGAAGTACACTAAGTCCATTCAACCTAGAGAGCTTTGCCCCTGTGGTGACCCGGAATGCTATACGCATCATCACCCCTGTGCACCTCCAACTGCCTCTGTCACAACAACACAACCCTCAAGGCACCGGGGCAGCTAGTGGGAGGCAAACTGGCCATTTTAAAGAGAGCCTTCTGGATGTACAACACATTGTGTAGTATCTCCTTTTCAAATTCCAGTTAGCCTTTGATGACTGGGCTCAACATACCACAGTGGATCTAGAGAAGGAATCATACTGTATAAAAGACAACCATCACAAGACATGGGGTGACAGTTTGACAGCGTAGAAGAGTGACATTCTTGTCAAAATGCTTCACTTCAAAGACTTGGGACAGCATTTGGGTGTTTCAAAACAAGTTTGGAAGTTATGAGGCTGCGGATCTAGGGCTCATGATCTACATGCCGGTAGTACATGTGTACTGTACCCGGTTATTATTAAAAATCAACCTTTTAAATACAAAAGTAATCATGATGAATGTTGTTTGTAATCAACCATGACAACTATAACAGAAGAATGAAACATTTTGTAACTACAAAGGGTGACATAGAACAACCTCTCACACAAACATAATTTATAGACGTATAAAAAAATAAAAACAGATAAAGAATCATCCAGTTTCACAATCGAATTGTACCAATGTGATTGGTTCATAAAATGTGCTTCTACTCAGTATATCAGCTTCTTGCTAATAATGAGCAAGGGGAAGAGTCTTAACACGTTTTGAAGAAAGTTACAATTTGATCATGGAATTTGATCCCAGATGGCATTCGAAAACCACCGATCTGAACCCTGATTGTAAAGAGTCCTTCAGGTCCACTTCTCTCCGATGGAATGGTCAAACTGTAGCTTTGGATTCTTGCACTCAATTGGGCAATGACACAAGTCTCAAATTGAGGTCAGGGCACGCAAAGGAACACCACATCCAAGAACGAGACCAAGCCTAATCCTAGGTTGAAGATAGGCCTCACCCAGCCTACTATTGGACAGAAAACAGTACAGGCAATGGAGGAGTGGGATAAAGTTTTAAGTGCATCATTTCATTGTTGGGATTGGAAGCCTCCAAAAAAAAACTGTAGTCAATGTAATAAGGCTAGAGGAAGGAGAGTCTTCTAGGTAGAGATCAGATGGATATGGAAAGCACATGACCATCTATCGACTGTAGGGGTCTCCATGGTAACTGCCGCTGAAGTTGTTGAGAGGGGAGACAACAGGGGAGAGGGTTGAAGAAGAGGAGGAGGAAGCAGAGGGCGAGTGTAGATCTAGATCATCGACAAGTCCCACACCCTCAAACACATCGTCTGTGTCCATAGGGGTCCCATCGGCCCCCTCCTCCACCCCCATGGGCCCCTGAGGGCTGAGATGAGAAGAGACTGTGATGTACTGGGAGGGGAGAGGTGCTACTGTCCGGCTATGGGCCCCAGAGGGCTCTAACAGGAAGGCTGAGCTCTCCCCCAGCTGCATGCTGGGGTGGGTCAGAATACGGGAGGTGGGCTCTGTGAACGACAGAGTGCCGCGGTGGGGCGGAGAGAGGGACGTCCAACCACCTCCACCATGACCCTGACCCCTGCCCTGAGTGCCTCTGCCCCCATCCTGAGCCTCTGTCCCAGTCTGGGAGCCGCGGTGGATGCGGTGGCTAACAATGATGTTGTTACCGAAGCTGCCCATGGAGGCCATGGTGGTGCTCTGTTCCCTCTGGACCACGGCGGTCATACCACCCTCAGCGATCAGCCTGCGGAGCCGAGAAAGGGCGTCCTCCCCACTGCCCTGGTCTTGAGATTCTCCTGAGGGAAGGAGGGAGAGGAGGAAAAGAGCTTTGTAACACATACAGTAGAAACAGTATCAATAGGTTGTAGTTGGTCACTTAGTTACATTCATTTCCACAATGTTGGATTCACTTCATTATTGAAGCAAACATGTTGATTCGCAAATGTTCTACTTGCTCAACATTTGTTTGCACCTAACTAAAATACACACATGAAAAACGAAAACAATTTCCATTTTTACACAGATGCATGTCCTCTGCTTGGCAGTTGAGAAACTGCTTCCATAAATGTAACCAGACAGTATAAACTATTTGAGAGAAGGTGGAAGTGGCAGGTCTTAGAAATGTAACTGGCAAGCATGACGTGATCAGGGTAGGCCTCTTCTCTGTGATTTGGCATGGCACGGTGATATCTGCGTTAGCCGTAGCGCTAGCCCTAATGAAGCCCACATTACCTGACAGGGAAGAATATAGGTAATTACAAGGCTGGCTAATGTCTTAGTGTCCAACTAGCCTGGATAAATCCACTCCTAAAACAGCATTACCAAATTCTGCCCTAGCATCCAGTCCCTATTGTAATACCACATACTGTAATATTAGTCAGGCAGCTGCTGTTGGTGCAGAGTTAAACTTAACCCAATCACCTATTGAAAGGAAATCAAATATTGTCCGAGCCTACAAAATATATTAAGCAACATGTCGGAGGAAGTGCAGCCAAATAAATCTTTGAAACTAGACAGCTGTGTACTGTAACATCAGTGAGGTATGAATGGAGTGAGACACGGTGCAACTTAGTGTTACGCCTCTGTCAAGCACACATGGTTATTTGACTTTGCCACAACATGACTGGCTGTTTATACCCATCAATCAATTGTGTATATTCCTCTACAGGCAAAAAAACTGTTTATGAAGATTACTGAGCGAACGTCAGCAGCCTAAATGTTTTGCAATCACACTTAATGTGATGCAGAGAAGGAAAATGTGAGAGAGTAGGCTGCCTCTAGCGATGCATGGAGAAGCCAGACTGACAGATCAGAGGACTGTGTGTTATCTGTCAGTCACAAACTCTCCTGGGACTCTGCAAAGAAATTCATAATGTAATTTGAGTCAAAAACAAAGCCACAGTCAGAAGCACACTGAGAGAAAAAACAAGGGCAGTACTGTAAGGTGGAAACACTGCAACTTTAGCATCCAAAACTTCAGGCATTCAGGATATGAACATAGTACTTTTTGATTATTATTATTGTACTTATGACTGTCCCGCATCTTCATTATGTTGTTTTTGTCATGCACGTAAATTGTTGGAGTACGAAATGGGTCAATTTGGAAGAGTAAGCACAGGCTGTATGTTTTTGTTGTTCATTTGAATTGGGCTCCAAGCAACCATAAAAGTTTATGAACAATGGTATTATACCATTATCTGCAGAATACCACTGGGTGTGCCAGCAGGACAGTGGCCCTGGCAGTGTCATTATTCTAATGGATGAGGCTACTACTGTACATTGGAAAAACATTCAAAAGAGCTACTGTTTACTATGTACAATATTATATTCACCACCTTCATTTCTTGCACCATGTTTGCTGCCAACAGTCACATCCACTCCACAGTTTATGGCTACTATACTCAATACACAGATAACGATAATTAGTGGTCTATAGATCATATTCACAAGAGTGTAAGATGTGTGTGCGTCGACAACTAGGCTGTAATAATCCCAGCCGTAATAACGCTCTGCTGCCCCTACAAGGGAGGCCATTAATGGGGAGAATATAAGGAGGGAGGAAGGAGAGGAAGAGGGAGGCCTCCCCCCCCCCCCCGTTTCCTCCATCCCAGAGATAAAGAGACAGTGAGTACTGATAATCTCCTCTGACAAGGACCAAACTCATTTATCACAACCAACCACCAAACCAGCCCTGTTGACTGTCTGGTCTTAATGATGTGGTGGTGGAATGGTGTTGAGATCATAGATATAGACCTGAGATGACCTCATGATGTGCGTGTTTTCTCTGACTTACCTGGAGCTACATTATGTCTCCTCTGTTAGCCGTTTCTCTCTCAGGCAAAGATTGTCTTGACTTTTAACCCTATTTTGTGGCATATAATGATCCCACAAATGCCAGTCAAATTGAGATACGATTCTAATTACACTGAGCATCAGATGTGTGAGGAGGAGGACTGGATGGGGTCACCTGGGTTAGCCAAGGTGGTGCTGGCCTCTGTGGAGGCCTCGGCTGACTCGCCATCCTCCTGCAGCGTGGGCGGGGGCGTCTCAGGCGCCATCTCTGTGCTGCTGCCTGGATGAAGGTCCCTTATGTGTCCACCAACTGGGGGAGGAAGGAAATAAACAACAGCACATGTTGAGACCTTGTTCGCTGGGAGAGAAGATAGTTACTTTTCATTTTATACGCTTTAGAAAACATGCGTGCCTTGGTGACACCAACAGAATCTTATGTTCATCATGTAAGAGGAAAACTACATCCAGTCAGATTACAACTGTTTACCCAGGTAAACATTCAAACTCATTAAAATCCTCCAAAAACAAGCTCATTGTGAAGTAAGGGAATTCTTCAAGGTGATCTGTACCAAAAATACATACCTCAAGGAGATACTGTAGATCTGTACTGAGTGTAGTACTCTGTACAATTATATATTTGTAGAAATATAGATTTACTCTGACTGAGTAAATAGAATTTAGGAGAAACCTGTGCTCTGTTGAACCATACCCCTCAAACATGCTTCCTAAAGAACTGTTTAGTCTCAGTGAGGGGGAGAGGAATCGGATTAGAGCAATATTTTGTTGCTCCATTCGCGAGGTGGAGAGATGAAAGCCTGCATTGGGCGGCTGCAGTCTGCTGATGAGTGGGTGAGGAAAGAAAAATAAAGCTAAACGTCCGTTGTATGTAAAATTGGACTAGGTACAGCTTCTCCTATACATGTTCTCTCATGCCTCCAAAATCGTGGATATCTGATTGTGACATCAAAGGTGAATATTGGCGTGACTATTTTCACCTCTAGATCCAATCAAACCAGAGACTGACAAGGCTAGGGGATTATACTGAAACTCGCATGGCATCAGGGAATTGGATATAAGACCTGTCAGTGGGTGGCATTATTCTATCTGATGGTTTGACACCACGAGGCCAGAGGCTGCGTGAGTAGCACTCTCTGTGTCAGTCACCTGTCCACCTGCTAACTGAACTGCAGAACCTTTTTAGAGTGGAAGTTTTCCCACAATAGCTTGACAGGTACAAATCCATTTAGGATTTCTCCTTAGAAGTGATGCCAGGATGTTTTCAGTGATGGATTCCACCCATATATCTTAATGAAGCCTCCTCTTAATAAGTAGATGACAGACAAGCCTTGGTTGGTTAACCACAAAGAAATAAACAATGTACATTACAAAAACTGTACGGCGAAGTTTCGGATCTAAGATGATTCTCATTCAAACCATAGTTCAGTAAAAAGGTAAAGGTAGATTTCAAAAATATACTGTATAACCTATTACAATTACAAGCTTTTCAATAAACTGAAAGTTTCCAGTCATTAAACTGGAGGGGTTTCTTGAGGACCCAGGTAGTAAATGATAAGTCCTGGGTGTCCTCTATTGCTACTGTTGATTAGCGGGAGGCACCATTTAAAATCATCTTTATGTGGAGTAAGAGAGCATCTGCTTTATTGCTCTGCCCTGTGTCATCACCCAAGCGTGGCCCATAAATACAGAAGGTGTTGAGGGAAAGTTCCCTCCGTACCCACACAGCCTCTATTGGCACATCAGAGGACCAGCACTGAGCCTTTCCTATAGTGTCTCTGACTCTTTCTCTATCTCTCCGTGGGATAAATGATCATTTGGCCTAATAATGCAACTCAGGCGCTTCAGCTTTATCACTGTCCTGCTAAATTGATAGCGGCTGATTTACCTGACCCCAGTGGGACATCACGGCTCTCCGAGGTGTGTCGCTGCCTTAATGAAAGCAGGTGGGAAGTGTCACCTTGTGTTTAACACTCTCCTCTACACAGAACACAAGGAGTCTGACTGGCTGGAGGGGACTCAACTCAAACTGAAGCTTGGCTAAAGCCACTTTGCCAGGTGGGTGGGTGTAACAGAGGTGCTGGTTGGCTTCTTTTTGGGGGATCCTTCAATAAAGCGGGCTTTCGGGAATACGATAAATCAGAACTACTTAACTAGAAATACACATTAAGCCTTACACAAAAGTGAAAGTAAGACCCTGGGCAAGAGTCATGGCGTGTGTTCTTTGAGCCAGGTATTCTTTGAAGCACAAAGGCTCGACCGCCAAGGCATAAATACTGTAGGTGTGTAATGATCCTATAATCATAAAATGCGATCATCTTCTCACAACAGTGCTGCTAATCCATTTCAAATGAAAAACACATGTCGAGCAATGTTTGAATACAACTTGCTGAACAAGAGTTTGGCCTGGGGAGTGTGCTGCTCTGATTTCAATTCGATGTGCGGAGGCGCGTTCCCAACGCCTGCTCTCTCCAACGGCAACACTCCATCAGCCATGCACTGGAGAGGGCGACTGAAGAGTCACTTAAGGCATCACAGCCGTGGAGATGCTGATTAGTCAAACCAGCCAGCCCACAGTATGTGGATGGATGATTCAGATCCGAATGATCCGTAAATATAACTTCCCTTTGCACCAGGCCCTGTAGCTCAGTTGGTAGAGCATGGCGTTTGCAACGCCAGGGTTGTGGGTTCGATTCCCACGGGGGGCCAGTATGAAAATGTATGCATTCACTAAACTGTAAGTCGCTCTGGATAAGAGCATCTGCTAAATGACTCAAATGTAAAAAATAACAGTGCAAATGCAAATGCAATAGCAAAGTTGTCCATTCGTTGGGACTATTTATGATGTAATGATTTTGACCTACAGTCAATTACCACCAACACCAATAATATTATGATTAATAAATTCAGGTTTTAAATCATTAAAAACCTTTCTTTGTGATGAATAATATTTGGCATTCTGATAGTGGTGTTTCGTACCTCCATCATTTTAGGGGAACATTTTCAAATACACAATTTGCATACAATACGTGCATCTACCACTCTGAAAACTGCTTGGATAATATATATCAGATAATATTAGATATTATGAAACCTAACTTCAGGTTTGGGTAAGGAAGTAGATATCATGTAAGATTATGTTACCTCCTTCTGTGTTTCTTATATAAGAGGGACTCAGGTCTTTTTATGGGAAGGACAACACTCCACTTCAAGCGGCGGCTTGGAGTCAAAGCAATAAACCTTTATTACGGTCTGACTCCTGGACAGCTGTCAGAGACTCCTCTCAGAGCTCAACCTGTATGACGAGAACCATGGCAGAATGAACAGACACACGCGGTCAGAACCACTTTAAATGGAGAAAACTGGTTTCAAGTGAGGTACAATTAGTACACTCCTACATACAGTACAGTGGATCTCTACCCCCTTGCTATGCTATATAAGCCATTATCCCAGTCATCGGCACATTAACAACAACAACAGGGGAGTAGAAACAGAGATAATTGTTAAGTGCTGGATACGATTGGAGGAAAGGTGGAAGGGCCTTGATTGCAAAGGCTTGGCATGAGAGCTTGTTTTCGATTTCTCGCCAGGTGTTTTATTGTTTTAATCATTCATTTGTGATGAGTATAATGGAAGTGTGCTAATGTCCTCGCAACATAATGCATTGTGTACAACATTCCAGCTGAGCCGAAATGGACTCTTGTGCTCTGTTTATGGATATCGAGTCTTGTGAAATTGAGTCTAAACCCCTTTAGATAGTACCTTAAAAGGCCCAGAGACACAAAAGTGGAACATGCAGGTCTCATTTTCTCCGACGGCACTCACGTTCCTAAATGCCACTGAGAAAACATGAAGATACAGTAATGAAAATTATATTTCAGTGCCCCAAGAGAGGTGTTTTGGATGAGACTCAATATCACAACATCTGTTTCTGTGATCTGTCACTAAGACAGGTAATGCAGAGATAGGGTGTAATTGGTACTGCTATATTACCACTGGGACAAGAGAAAAGTAATGATCCACTTCACCTGACGTAGGAACCAAGGGCAATACAGAGATTAGTCTTAAAGGGCAATTTCACTTTGAAAAAACTTCATATTGATTTTCTCCAGCATCAACATATGTGAAAATGGCGCGTTTCTGTTTTGTAGTAAAAAAGAGAGGAAGTATACGTTTTTCCAATTACATCATTGATGTGATTTTAACCAATTATGAGCAGGCATTCCCTACTAATTGGTTGATGATGTCATTGGAAACACTTACTGTATCTTCCTCTATCTTTTTTACCACAAAATATAGAAACACAGCATTTTCACATACAGTATGTTGATGTTGGGGTGGTATTGGAGATTATGAATATGAAGTTGAAAAATTGTGAAATGTCCCTTTAATTAACTAAACAAGTATTTGCTTCCTGTTGCCAGGTACTTGCCAAGCCTTTAGTGCATGCCTTTGAGGTCTTTGTTCTGTATGGAATGAGGTCAAGGAGGTTGTTAAGACTGATTGCAATTAGGTTAAGTCTTAAATGCCACATTTGTGAAATGAAAAGTATTCCACAAAATGTTAATGAAATTATGACGCTTCTAATTTGCCAGGTTGTATTTCCTGACAGCAACGAGGAACAAATTCCCCACTAATGAAACATCGCAGCCATTGTAGAAATGCACTGAAACAGAACAGCAGAAATTGTGTTGTGCAGTAAAATGGAACCTAGTTGTGAATTCAGTGATGGGATGATCATTACCATCACCGACTATCCAAGAGGGTCGCTAGCTGATATGATTAATCAGAGGACCAGAATGGTGATTTCCACAGTTCACTCGCTCAATTGATGACAAATTGCAAATGAGTATCATCCTGAAAATGTGTCAATTACTCATTTGTGAAAGTTCTTACAATATGCCTGAGGGGAGTCTTGGGCTATCTTGCATATTGTGTTTAGAATTTGAAATAGTTCTGTGATTAATTTGATGGTGATTTAACCAGACTTACCTGTTACGACATTACATAGTTGAACAGCTCAGTATTATGAAAAAGATATAGGGTAAATGCTGGAGGGATTGGGGGAGAGAGCGATAGGTATAGATATAGGTAGACGTACTGTCTGTTGCTTGGGAGGCCCGGGAGGTGCTGGGAACCTGTGGATCTCGGTCCGTCTGTGTGCCTCGTTCAGCATTCTGAAGCTGTATGACGGGTGTCTGTGTGCCTTGTGATGTCACAACGGGGGTAGGGTGACGGGGCTGGAGACCGATGGCGTTCATAAGTCCCATGTCCCTTTCAGACCTCAAGGGGGCCCTGCTGCTCCTGCAAAACACAGCCACATGGTCAACGCTGATAAGGGCCATATGGATGAAAGCACACAGCCAGAGAATAAACACTGGGTAAGAGGCAAAAGATGTTAGGTGACCTGAAATGTGTTCAGCAGCTGGATGTGTGTATGTATTCAAGTGTGAGCCTACAGCCTTGTTTTGCTCATGCATGCATTTGTGTGTGGATGAGTGCTGTATGCCAGTTAGTGAGCATGTGGTGTTCATATAGTATGTCGTGAGATGATAAGGGTCAGTTCAGATCGAATTCAAAGCGGACCTGCCTTTCTGTGTTATTGTTAGTGTTCATGAGTGGTGTTTTTGTGTGTTTGTGTGTGTGTGTGTGTGTGTGTGTGTGTGTGTGTGTGTGTGTGCCTGCTTGTGTGTGTATGACACTTGAGCGTTGGCATTGCATTTTGTTGAAAAACAACTTATTTTTGTGAACAAAAGGGGAGAGTCCAATGTCAATACACAGAACTAGCACTGCCTTTCCTCTGACAGAGGTGTAAACACAGTTCAGAGAATGCTTGCTAGACAGAAGACTTTCATATCTCCATTGAAGAAAAAAAACTCTACTTGCACCTCCCCCTTCTCTGAAAGCCACATATACCTAGCTAGTGTTCTCACACACACCACCCTCAAAGGCCCGCCCATGCCAATTCTCACCCTGGTCGCTCTCCGTTGCGGCTCCCACCGGTACCACCGCCTCGATTGTTGTTGACAGCAAATATGGGCTCACTGTGCTCAGAGGGGCCGTCTCCGTCTGACTGGGCATCTCTGGAGGGGAGAGGCGAAGGAGAGAGAGAGAGAGAAAGATATAAAAAGAGAGGGAGAGAAAGCAACAAAGAGAAGGAAAGAGAGACGGACATTATACAATGAGTCATTACTGTCATGTCGTCATTAATGTTTCATCATTTGGTCATATTTGTATGTTAAATCAGAGAACTAAAAACTTTCAGTTCCAATGTTCCACTCGTCATGTCAGACCTACACAGCAGGATATGCTCAAGCTTTCAATAAGTTACAGTATTTCAATCAAAAAAGGATGTGCAAAATATGTTGCTAGACATAAGTAGAATGAGCAGTCCATACATTTCCAACAAGCAGATCCCTCACAATGGTCCCCAGCATTAAGATGAAAAATCTATAGTACTGCTTCATTGCATCATAGCTCTAAATGATCCAATGTTGACTGAGGCAGGTGTCAGACCTGGATGTATCCACAAATATGATTTCATCTGATAAAAATCAATTCAGGGCAAGCACTCCAGCTATCTTTCGGGTAGAGTACAAATACAATTTAAATAATTTTACCTTGCAGTGAAACAGTTGAGATCGTTTTCATAATACTGCACTGGTCTGAGAATCTGACCAATAAGTGTCTGTTCAATTGGTGTTGAGCCATAAAATGTGGTGTTGAACCATAAAATAACCATAAGACCTTCAATTAATATCTAAAACATCCCTGTCCAGTAGGATTGGATTACATCTCATGAAGCAGAGACAGAATGGCACTGGAGTTCCATGGTTGCCATGGCACCTAGAGGCATCTATTTTAATGCAGAATTATCCATAATTATTTGTTAAGTGTTTTTTAAGCACATTGTTTTTATCAACTTGTTTTTTTGGATAGCTTATCAAGTATAGAACATAGGAATCTCTGGGTTTTTTTAACCATCAACGTTAAATTAGTTAACATATTTGGCTACTTCTCCAACCTCTCCAATCAACTAGCAAATTGTTTGGATTCAAATACCAGCCTAGCTAGATCTTTCTAGATCCTCATCTCCTGGACCAAAGGCTGGATGAAATGAGTCTGAAATGGCAGCAACCTTCATTTACTACACAGAAGGATTCCTCAGAAGTTTTGGACAGATTAAAACAACACTGTGTAAGGACCCTAAGAACAGCCTCTTTCAATACGGGCTCCAACGGAAAACATGGTGAGGATGACGAGGTGGTAGGAGACTAATTAACAAACTGAAGTCTATTGTATGCACTCGCAATGAGAGTACCGGAGTTAGATGATAAAGGGCCATTTCTGCAAGCTGACCCTCAGGCAAATTACGTCACCCACTCTAAGCCAATACAGTCCATACAGAGAGCAGTGGACCAACCAAAATGTAAGTGTTTCCACCAATGCCTTCACACGTCGTGCACTCTAAAATCTTCAATCTTTAACAAGTCTCCTCTTTTGTATAAGTTTATCTCAGACAATTATTTTGACATGATCTGCCTCACTGAAAAACGGCAAAGAGAGGGGGACGTTTACCATCTAAATGCAGCAGCTCTGCCGGGATATAAATACATTGAAAAGGCGCGCAGCCACGGCCGTGGTGGAGGCCTTGCTGTTTTATACAGAGTGCTTTATTTTAAACCCAGACTGTTGCTGATTTTCAGTCTGAGTGCCTTGCTTTTAAATGTAAACACCCAAATCCTCTCACTGTTATCCTTGATTAAACCCCCCCCCCCTCCAGATAAGCAGTTTTTTTTTTATTCCTGAGTTTTGTGAACTATTAAACTATGTATGCTCCACCCTCTCCAACATTGTCATTTTGGGTGACTTTAACATCCATGTTGACTCACCCAAGTGCTCTATGGCTGCTGACTTCCTCAACTTGCTGGACTGTCTAAACCATGTGCCACATGTAAATGTTCCCTACCCAACAACCGTCAACACACAATACATTATCACTGGATATGTCCCTGCCTCTGACTTGGATGTCCTCAAACTTGGTGTATCTGACCACAAGCCTGTGACACGGTCTGACTACTCCCACTCCGATCCACCGCCCAAAGGGGGCCATTCAATTCTGCAACCTAAGGAAACTTAACCCATCCCTCTTCCTGGAACACATCCAGCCCACCTTTGAGTCTGACTGCAGTGAGCTGGCTCTCGACGATATGGTCAACCTGTATAACATCACTCTGAGTAACACCCTGAACATCTTTGCTCCCGAAAACCCCCGAAAGTAACCTTCCAACAGTCTTCGCCCTGGTTCACTGATGAACTGCGCAGAATGAAGACTCATGGCCGTAAGTTTGAGAGGCGTTGGAGGAAGGACGGCTTCACTATCCATCTACTGGCCTACAAAGACCACCAAGCAGCACGATCAGCCTTCTACTCCACCATGATTGACAACAAAGCTAACCTCAGAATCCTGTTCTCAACCATCAAACCGCATTCTCAAGCCTGCAAACTCATGCCCTCCTGCAGCCTCATCTGAGCAGTGCAATCAGAACTTTTAAAACGGGCCTTAAAAACACGTTTCTACAGACTCTTTCTTATAGTCCTAATCTGGAAAGTCCTTTTAGCACCTAGCCTACTACTGCTGTTTCCTGCCTTGATTCTAAATGTATGATGTTTTTATTATATATATATACAGTGAGGGGAAAAAAGTATTTGATCCCCTGCTGATTTGGTACGTTTGCCCACTGACAAAGACATGATCAGTCTATAATTTTAATGGTAGGTTTATTTGAACAGTGAGAGACAGAATAACAACAACATTTTCCAGAAAAACGCATGTCAAAAATGTTATAAATTGATTTGCATTTTAATGAGGGAAATAAGTATTTGACCCCTCTGCAAAACATGACTTAGTACTTGGTGGCAAAACCTTTGTTGGCAATCACAGAGGTCAGACGTTTCTTGTAGTTGGCCACCAGGTTTGCATACACCTCAGGAGGGATTTTGTTCCACTCCTCTTTGCAGATCTTCTCCAAGTCATTAAGGTTTCAAGGCTGACGTTTGGCAACTCAAAACTTCAGCTGCCTACACAGATTTTCTATGGGATTAAGGTCTGGAGACTGGCTAGGCCACTCCAGGACCTTAATGTGCCTCTTCTTGAGCCACTCCATTGTTGCCTTGGCCGTGTGTTTTGGGTCATTGTCATGCTGGAATACCCATCCACAACCCATTTTCAATGCCCTGGCTGACGGAAGGAGGTTCTCACCCAAGATTTGACGGTACATGGCCCCGTCCATCGTCCCTTTGATGCGGTGAAGTTGTCCTGTCCCCTTAGCAGAAAAACACTCCCAAAGCATCATGTTTCCACCTCCATGTTTGACGGTGGGGATGGTGTTCTTGGGGTCATAGGCAGCATTCCTCCTCCTCCAAACAGGGCGAGTTGAGTTGATGCCAAAGAGCTCGATTTTGGTCTCATCTGACCACAACACTTTCACCCAGTTCTCCTCTGAATCATTCAGATGTTCATTGGCAAACTTCAGACGGGTCTGTATATGTGCTTTCTTGAGCAGGGGGACCTTGCGGGCGCTGCAGGATTTCAGTCCTTCACGGCGTAGTGTGTTACCAATTGTTTTCTTGGTGACTATGGTCCCAGCTGCCTTGAGATCATTGACAAGATCCTCCCGTGTAGTTCTGGGCTGATTCCTCACCGTTCTCATGATCATTGCAACTCCACAAGGTGAGATCTTGCATGGAGCCCCAGGCCGAGGGAGATTGACAGTTATTTTGTGTTTCTTCCATTTGCGAAAAATCGCACCAACTGTTGTCACCTTCTCACCAAGCTGCTTGGCGATGGTCTTGTAGCCCATTCCAGCCTTGTGTAGGTCTACAGTCTTTGCCCTGACATCCTTGGAGAGCTCTTTGGTCTTGGCCATGGTGGAGAGTTTGGAATCTGATTGATTGATTGCTTCTGTGGACAGGTGTCTTTTATACAGGTAACAAACTGAGATTAGGAGCACTCCCTTTAAGAGTGTGCTCCTAATCTCAGCTCGTTACCTGTATAAAAGACACCTGGGAGCCAGAAATCTTTCTGATTGAGAGGGGGTCAAATACTTATTTCCCTCATTAAAATACAAATCAATTTATAACATTTTTGACATGGGTTTTTCTGGATTTTTTTGTTGTTATTCTGTCTCTCACTGTTCAAATAAACCTACCATTCAAATTATAGACTGATCATTTCTTTGTCAGTGGGCAAACGTACAAAATCAGCAGGGGATCAAATTCTTTTTTCCCTCACTGTATGTATATATATGTATATATATATATATATATATATATATATATATATATATATATATATATATATATATATATATATATATATATATATATATACATACATACACACACACAGTGGGGAGAACAAGTATTTGATACACTGCCGATTTTGCAGGTATTCCTACTTACAAAGCATGTAGAGGTCTGTAATTTTTATCATAGGTACACTTCAACTGTGAGAGACGGAATCTAAAACAAAAATCCAGAAAATCACATTGTATGATTTTTAAGTAATTATTTTGCATTTTATTGCATGACATAAGTATTTGATCACCTACCAACCAGTAAGAATTCCGGCTCTCACAGAACTGTTAGTTTTTCTTTAAGAAGCCCTCCTGTTCTCCACTCATTACCTGTATTAACTGCACCTGTTTGAACTCGTTACCTGTGTAAAAGACACCTGTCCACACACTCAATCAAACAGACTCCAACCTCTCCACAATGGCCAAGACCAGAGAGCTTTGTAAGGACATCAGGGATAAAATTGTAGACCTGCACAAGGCTGGGATGGGCTACAGGACAATAGGCAAGCAGCTTGGTGAGAAGGCAACAACTGTTGGCACAATTTTTAGAAAATGGAAGAAGTTCAAGATGACGGTCAATCACCCTCGGTCTGGGGCTCCATGCAAGATCTCACCTCGTGGGGCATCAATGATCATGAGGAAGGTGAGGGATCATGAGGAAGGCAGTGTATCAAATACTTGTTCTCCCCACTGTACAGTGGGGAAAAAAGGATTTAGTCAGCCA